AAATAACATAACTTATGATTTTACTCATACATTATGCTTCAGTTAACACAGAGCTATATTTTAAGAAATCATTCTGGGTAATACTTTTTTTCTTCTTCTTTTTTTCTTTCTTTTTTTTATTTTTTTTATTTTTTTTTACAACCTTCTTGTCTTTCTCCAACACACACAGAGATGGATGAAGATGTTGAGTTGGAGAGTGCAATGCTGAGCATTACCCCCTCCAAGCTACAGGTGCAGTGTAAGTATGATTTCTTTCTGTGCTTTACTATATCAATTGTATTTTCCGATTTGTTTTCTCTCAAAAGTTTTACTGTTTTGTGTGTTACCACCAGCGCCACCATCATCATCCTCAGCAGCTGAACCGGGGTGGTCTATGGAAACGGAAAAAGGTTTTTACACATGAGGTTCAGCACTGGAGCACAGTTCTGTTGAATTGTGAGATGAAATGCTCTCCAGGACTGAACATAAATCCTTGTGTTCTCAGTGTTCTGGCCATGTTCCGGCCTTGTTCTGTTAACAATGCGTTTGCCGTTGGCAATAAACTAAATGTCCCAGGGGACTATGAATTGATTTCCCCTTCATGAATTGATACCAGCCACAATCAGGGTAAGTACTCGCTTTTGGCAACTCGTAAATGTTACTAACATATGATGAAATGCATGTTTTTGCATGTTTTGTTCACATCCCTCCTGGGCATATGTCATTTTATTTTGTACAAGACAATCATGTGAAGTAAGATTAAGGTGTTTTTGTCCTTAAACCTAATATGCCTAATTATTATTATTTTTAAATCCTGCAGTACCTTCTGCTTCCCTCTCCAAATCACCTGCTGAAAAGCAGCAACGAGTGACACCATTTCATGGTAAATGCATTGTAATTCTGTCCATCTATTCAAACATTTGTCTCATGTACTATGGTATTGATCTTTTTCTTCTTCTTTGTTTTTATCTTTTCTTTTATTTAGCACCACCCATGCTCCCCAAAATACCTGTGTCCATTCCTAAAGAGTTGATGTTCCTTGTAAAAGATATGACAAAAGTGGAGAGAACCGATTCAACTACAGGTGTGTTTTATGTGCTTTTTTATTCTAAAGTCACACACTTGTACATTGTAACTGTTTAGTATTTAAAATCCCATTTAATATTTATAATTCCTCACCTCTTGTATGAATAATTGTTAATAGATAAATGGTATTCTGTTACAGGAGACAGCAGCACTATAGACACCTCTCGATTGTGCAGGACACTTACTTTGAGGAATGTGGCAAAAGCAGTAAGGCTGTATTGCACTTGACATAATTAAATTATTAAAATGTTGTGTTAAAAAAATTCTAATTATACAATTGTATTTATCCATCTTTTTAGAAGATCTCTCTTCTTCAGCAACCACTACATATAGTCTCCAACAGACAGCTGAGGCATCACATGGTAAGATTGTATTTTCTCTGGTAGAAAATTAAGGCCTGACATAATGAAATTATTCAAATGTTGTGTTAAAAAAAATCTAATTATACAATTTTATTTATCCATCTTTTTAGAAGATCTCTCTTCTTCAGCAACCACTACATATAGTCTCCAACAGACAGCTGAGGCATCACATGGTAAGATTGTAATTCTACCAGAATTTTGCTCTGGTAGAAAATTAAGGCCTTAAAAAAGGTATTTTAATTAGAACAGAAAGTCTTAAAATTCATAAAGTCATCATGACATTACATTTTGCATGAAAAAAAAAAATGAATATGTTCCTCAGTATTTTTGTCTTGTTTTTCAGTACAAATACCCTTAAATCAAGATACACTTACTTGATATGCAAAATTAAAATATAAAGTTTTGCTTTGGGAATTTGAACTGAATTAAGTGTGTTTATGCTTAAAAATCAACTGTTTGTAAGTGGGATATGAAAACTTGTTTTCCCTTTGAGTTAAGTTTATTTTTTTGACCCCACTGGCAGACATTTGTTCTTGTTTTAATCATAAACTCACTTCATTTTGATCATTTTCATACACAAAAAATCAAGATGACTTCTGGCATTTTGCTTCTCGTGTTTTTTCAAGGCTGTACAGCCGTGGTAACAAATATGTTAACTAAGTTAATAAATAAATGATGCAATATAAAGTAAACACAGTTTATTGATTTTAACTGAACCATACATTGATCTTTTCAGGAACCCTCCCACCTTCTGAATCCTCCTCTTCCCCTCATACACCCGAGCCACCACACAGTAAGATGTTTTCATAACTCTTTTCTCAAGTGCTACTCTGCCCCAATCATTTTGATCATTTTCATAAAAAAAAAATCAATATGACTTCTGGCATTTTGCTTCTCGTGTTTTTTCAAGGCTGTACAGCCGTGGTAACAAATATGTTAACTAAGTTAATAAATAAATGATGCAATATAAAGTAAACACAGTTTATTGATTTTAACTGATCCATACATTGATCTTTTCAGGAACCCTCCCACCTTCTGAATCTTCCTCTTCCCCTCATACACCTGAGCCACCACACAGTAAGATGTTTTCATAACTATTTTCTCAAGTGCTACTCTGCCCCAAAAATGTCCTTTATTATATAGTCTATAATGAGAAGAATATAACAAAAGTGTAAATGTTATGACATTGCACTAATCTACTTTTTCTTTTTTCATCCCTGTTCTCTCAGGTGGTCCTTCTGTTGTTGTTCCCCCACTGACACTCAGATCATCCCCTCATACACCTGAGACACCACACAGTAAGATGTTTTTATAACTACTCTGAATGTTTTACTATGGCCAAAATATGTTTTAATTTATTATACAATCGGTGATGATAATACAATGTGTGAAAATGACTACATATCACCAATTATGTTTTTGTTTTTCATCCTTGTTCCCACAGCAGGTCCTTCAGTTTTTGTTGCCCCACCGGCACAGAGACCAGATCAGGATATAAGCACTTGGACCTGTTCTTATCATCAGAAAGTGTGGATGAAGACAGAGCTCCAATCTCTGGGACTGTGGCCTGGGTCCCACCATATGCTCAAGCCAGGAAATGCCCTTTCATTATGGCGTCTCCCTCCACAGCCAGAACTCATTGACACTGTGTTAGCACTCCCATCCCGCAATTTCTTTCAGCTCCATCCATTTTTTATTTGGAAACCAGAAAGTGACGTCATGGTGAGACTAAGAAATAATTATATACTCCCATGTCTTCATGGTTGTCCAAAGCCAGATATAGTCTCAGCTGGTGTGGGTAGGCCTCGAGTGATTGTTGGCACCAGTGGACAGTATTACATCTTTGCTTCACGCCTTCGCTGCAGGATGTGCAAGAGGATCTGGTTTGCTGACAGTCCTCAGTGGACGGGGAAACTGCCAAAGCGGTTCACAAGCATTCTGCCAGCATTCCTAACTTACAAGAAGGCCATTTGCAAGTCTGTGCTTCATGAGCTGAGGCGTACTGGCAAGTCACCTTCAGACATGGCAAACCAGGTGAATGAGCTGATGCACCTTAAATATGAACAAGCTCACCTGGCATACCTTCACAGCATACAGAACATCTGGGATGCTGAGGCTGGGGTTTATGGGCAGATGACTCTTGGTCACCTTGTGAGGAAGGATGACATGCCACAGTCTTTTGGAGCCTATGAGGATGCAGATGGGTGGTGTGGCGTCTCTGTCTCTGCTCACTACCTGACTGACTGCCTCATTGATGAGTACCGGCGCCAAGAGCCAGCTATCACTAAACTCCTGCAGGGCACTTTTGGACAGGTCTTGCGGTCTGACCACACCAGGAAGGTGGCACGAAAAGTGACCTTGTCATCTGGCACCATGTCAAGTTATGAAGTTATGAACGAAAATTGGATGATTGTTTCCTGGGTAATGGTGCAGTCTGAGAGAGAGAAGTCCCTTGAAACAACAGAGAGTAATAGAGATTTTACAGAAAAACAGAGCTACACGAAGCTACAATCACAAACCAGCAGCACTGCAAACAGGAAGCAGGAATAATACTGTCCAACAGCGACACCTTTATACAAAGACAGAGGCATGACAAAGGAAATGACATGGAAGGAATTTCAAGCCTCATCATTCTGTGGCATGGAAAAGGAGAGGTGGGCAGCAGAGAGAAAGAAATAGACATTCTGAACGTGTATACATACACCTGATACGTTTCATATTTTAATCATCCATTGTTTTCATGTTGCACCATTCCGTTGCTCCATTCCTTTCAATTACATACACATTTTAATTAATCATTGTTTATGTTCTTCACATCCTGTCCTTAACATAACATCCATCCTAGCACATACGATCTAAATGGAGCATATTCTGGTAGATTGCAACTGTTTGTAAATTGTGTACTGATTAATCTAATTGATTTTGTTGTTATTTCCTTGTGTACATATATCTAATTGATTTAGTTATTTTTTCTTGTGAAGGATCTGTATATCAGAACTGATAGTTATTACTTATATAAACTTGTTTTCACACTTGCTGGTTTTTAGTCCCTATTGTTCAACTTCTGTCCAGTCCCATCTGCTTTGCAGCAGCTATAATTTCTTTAGTTATACTTGGGTTGTTTTGTTTTACTTGTTTTAGCACTCTCTAAATTCCACTGAAGGCATATGTTTAAGTTGATTTAATAAAACATTGATTTTAAGTAAATAACTTGTTTCATTTGATTTCATCTTCAAACACTAGTCAGCTTATTTTCAATATGAATAAATTGTTAAATAGGTTATTTTATTCCTTTTTAATGCAACAGAGTATCAGTCTTGATTAATAAAATATTTGTTTGCAGTTTAACATATACTGATATTACATACTATAATTTGGGCCTTCCTCTATACAATTGTCTATACAAAAAATTATATACACATTTCAGACTGAACTGATGTAGATTTGAACCTGCCTCTCATGTGAAATTGTGAATAACTAGTGCAGCAGAAACTAGAAACACTTAATTGATCATTTATCTTAAGTGTGACAAATTATTCCTCTACTCAATCAATTTTCATTCAGTACTTGAATATTACTCATTTTGAGTTCAATTTAAATGATTCTTCATTACATTTCAAAAGCCATTTAATAGAAACCATTCATGTTTAATAATAATAACCATTATTATATAATCATGTTTTCATATAAACGTAATGTATACTACTATTATTTTACTGTATTTATTTTAATACTAATCATTTATTCATAATAATTTACTTTGTTTTTCAAAAAGGCAAGACAAAAATTACTTACTTTGCAGCTGTCATGTATTGTTTAATTTTAGAATTTTGTTTAATGAAAAGCAGAAAGCTGTGTAAAATAATGGTTTAGGCCTGTGTGAGTGGGATTCGAACCCCAGTCCAAACAAAAGCATGAAAAAATCTGATTGGCTGTGACATCATTTCCGCTCTTTGGCCAGCTGTTGAAATGCTTCAATTTCATTGGCTGTCAGTGAGTTACAACTATCAACAACTATCTCTGCTTTTATGCTGGCCCCCGCGTGGCAGGCGAGAATTCTACCACTGAACCACCAATGCTTGACTGGCTCGAGGAGATGCGCAAGTCTAGGAAGAGATAAACTGAACAAGTTCCATAGGCATTTGATGAAAAGAAATGGACTAATGAGTCTCTGAACAGAGGGGAGAAGGGGGAAGGTCAATGTCAAAAGTCAGAGTCGTTATCTTCTGTAGCCACCAGCTTCCTTAAGAACTACAGTGCATCTCATCCTCCTGGACTGCACCAGATTTGTCAGTTCTTGCTGGAAGATGTTACCCCGCTCTTCCACCAAGGCACTTGCATGTTCTCAAACACATCTGGGAGGGGGCGGGCACAGAGTTACATGCTGTTTGACACTGCCATGACGATCAGCGTCCATCTGTGCCCCTGTAGCGCTGTCTTAGGGATCTTACATTACTGACATTGCAGTTTATCCCACTTTCATGCAGGTCAGCCGTAACCCTGGACATATTTCATCTGGTGTTTTTCAGAGACAACAGACAGGTCAGTTTACTGTCATTAGTTGTTTTAACCCTGACCTTTCTTGC